AGAAAGAGAAAGAGAGAGAGAGAAGCTGAGAGAGGCAAAGAGGGAAAGCGTTTTAGCGTTCCTGCTAGACCGCGTAAATAGCGAAACGATCGATCGAGATGGACGATCGTAATTCACCCCGAAACAATTTCTCCACCACCCCGACGTTTCCTCCGCGCTCACATGATGCACTTACGTCCGTATGAATATATACGCGCGCGTAAAACACGACCGCGTTCCCGGAGGCGGTGACTCGCCGCTTTTCAGGATAACACAGAAAATCGACGCGCTTATGCGCGATAACGGATCTCGAAAAAAAAAAGGTAAAAGCGAAAAAATTCGGATGATGGTTTTCGACACGGTCCGACAACGCTGAGCGAATATAAACGGAATTATGCATGCCGACAGAAAAATATGATAAACGTTACACAATTAATAACTATGGTTCTCTTTTAGTGTCACCGACAAGAGAAAGACACTGCGTGGAACTTTAACGCACGCACGACGGGAACTTTTATATTTTTCAGAGAGCACAGAGAAAAATGTCCTTCCATTGCCAAGAAGAACGACCAATCTTTTGGCTTTCTTTGCTCCAAATAATAGTTATCTTCGACGAAAAATATTTTCATGATAACAGTTTTAAAATGTATTTATTAGAAATTTGAAAAATGCTCATTGCGTGTGCTCAAAAGAAGAGAATTTGTTCTTTTTGCTGAAACACCATAAAACTTTATTGGAGAAAAAGTGAAACAAATTTTATTTTAATTTAACATTCTCGACCGAAATGCTAATTAAAATCTAGAATGTCTCTTGTGAACAAATTTGATGCCTATAATGAGCTTATGATTTTGCGGATATATAAGCACTTGAAACAATGAGATAAACGCAATGAATAAAAGCAACGAAATAAAAATGAAATGGAATACTTGAGACAGGTAACATTTACTTGAATGCAGCATGCATTTTTCTCTGTGCACTTCTTGCTCGGGACACGAAGCGTTCTCGGCGCAGGAATAATTGCATCAAAAGTAATCGCATTAATTTCGTGAAGAACACAACGATGGATCGCGACGACGTGGGGCTGGCAAAACAAACAGAGAGAAAGAGAGAGAGAGAGAGAGAAAAAGAGAGAGAAGGTTGTTTTGGACCTCGCGGTTACGGACTTTCCCTTGGACCTCTTATTCGGAAGCCGTAACGGATTATAATCGGACACGGCGACGATTAATCAAAGCGCGACGCCCGCATTCTGCCTCGGCACGGGAGAGCTCGTTTTTCTTTCCTTCTTACCCGTGGCCCCCGCCACGCTCGCCTTCCACGCGTCCATCGAACCTGATTGCAAAATTATGCTCCAAGGAGGAATAGCTTCGCCCTCTTGGCGCACTTAGGCTGCGTTTGTGCCCGGCGGACAATTTACCCGGTATTAATTATTAACGTGGCGGCGAAACGCCCGTTCGTCCGGAATGCTCGAGCCCGTGCTCGAGACATTTCATTTCGTGAATTCGAGCTCTCACAGACAGCTCTCACAGTATCAAACAATTCCTGTAACGAGAAGCTTTTTAATTGCGACTTCAGAACGAGATGCTTGAACCCCACGATTGCTCTCTTTCTCTCTCTCTCTCTCTCTCTCTCTCTCTCTCTCTCTCTCTCTCTCTCTCGCTCGCTCTCTGTTTTCGTCTCTGTCTCTCCAGCGGAATATTCTGCGAATAGTGGTTGAAAGCAGCGGATGTACGATGAACGTGATGGGAGGAGGGGCACAGCGGGGGGAAAGAGAACAATGAAGTAACAAATAAATCCGCGCTGAACGCCGGATGTGTTAACGACGACAATTAACGCAGCTCAATCCGCGGTGCACTGATTGTAATGACAGATGTAATTATTAATGACAAGTGTGTTCTCTCTCTGTGCAAGCGAAACGTCAAACGATAAATTCCACCGTTGCGTGCTCTCGCCTCGCGAGCGCTTTAATTCACGGTCGAGATCTCGATGAGATCCCGCGTCGAATGTGCAAATTGATTCATCGTCAGCCGGCGCTTGATTCGACCGCGCATTATTGCACGGTTAAGCGAAATCGGTCGAGGGAGAAGTCCGCCGGAGAGAAAGGAGGAAAGAACAATCGAGGATCAAGAGAGTCAACCTTCTCCCGTCTCGTCGGACAGAAAGAGGCGTCGGTTGCGCGTCCCGACGTTGTCTCTCGAATCACCTGGTGTACCGGCCGCAGCCAGGTGCAACGCGCGTATATCCCCCGCACCGTTCTTCGTGCAATCGCATTAACGAGTTGCGTGCAGCCTACTCGTACTCGTGTCTAGAATGTATGTGTGTATGTGGGGAGGGGGGTGTTTCTAAGGTCGGACATGACGACATCCGCTAAGTGAAGTCGCCGCGACTCCCCGCGACTGTTTCGCGAGATGGCAGGTATGTTATTCTCAAGAGGTTGTCTCTTCTTTCTGTTTTTTTTATTTCTCACTTTTGTATTTTTCGTCACTGTCCCGTGCTCTCGCGTGGCTCAGCTCGGCGCAACAACGGGAAATAACATCGACAATTAACAGAGCACGATTTTGTTAGGCGGTGGGCGAATTTGTGCGTATCGTGTGATCTTCTCCTTCTCCTCTTCTTCGGCCCTCTTCGTCCTGCCACGCGTTTCGTTTCGCGTGATCGAAGACTTCCTGCTGTTCGGCTCCCTGCTTTGACGTGATCGAAGACACTCTCTTGTACCTTCCTGTATCGGGTTTTACTTTACATCGAGCGAGGGGGTGGCTCGCGTGTGCGTGCGCGGTGTCTCTGTCGTTCTCTTCAACTATTTTTTTCTTCATCCCACGTTTTGCGAAAGGATTACAACGAATCTCTCGTTACACAAACGAGTCAGAGCTTGAATCTCCTTCGATTACCGCGCGCTTTATTCGCTTTATCCGTCGTTCGCCGACTGTCAGATTCCCCTTCGATGTTTCTCCTCCCTTCGTCGGTTTGTTCTGTCGTGATCCTCTTAGCTTTAGCTCTTCTCTCTTCCTCTCTCTCTCTCTCTCTCTCTCTCTCTCTCTCTCTCTCTCTCTCTCTCTGTCTGTCTGTCTGTCTTTCTCTTGCCTCGTCTTTTCCTCGGAGCGTGTCCAAAGTTTCCGCGTGTCTTCCGTTCAATGGAAGCTCTTGGAATTTCACTCTTAGATCCGTCTTGCCGCGAATCAGCGGGACTTTCACGTGTCTCCTTCGCGCTCGTTTGGAAAGCACGTGGTTGCTCCACTCCTCCTTATTGTCTCCGTCCCGAAATCGACTCGCGATTCTTCTGCCCGCGCGATCGACGAAGCGGATCCTTTAGGTACTCTGAGCTACTTTATCCTAAAACACCCGAGCAGTCAAGGGCGAATCCTTTGCGAGAAAGATCGTCGTCGAGCGTCCAACGAGACGCGAAGCAATCGATGAAGATGAAATAATGGGAGGATTCAAGTGGAGAAGAGAACGGCGTATCGGCCAGCAGAGCCGACGCAACGTAGTCCCCATTTAAATTCCGGATGTAATCGACTTATCCGCGACGCTCAAAATTATGATAAGCTCACGAAGGATCGGAATGCTCGCCGATATCCTCGCGAAGACGAACACCAATGTGATTTCTTGCGACCAATCTTCTCGCCGTCCGCGACTCCGCTTTCCGCATGGTCGATCTCGATAATCGAACGCATCGCATCGCGTCGCATCGCGTCGCGTCGCATCGCGTCGCGTTGCGTCGCGGCGATGCACCGGGGATCGAAATGCGAAGCGCAGCTCGAAACGAGAGCGAGCTCCACGGAATCCCTCGCGTTTCCGCCTTCCCCACACGCGAACGAAAAAAGTCCGGCTCTAAAATCTCACCCTCTCCCTCATCGACCTGCAGCCATCACCCGTCTCCTTCTAATCCTCTCCCCGACCTGTCGCTTTTTCTATCGGCGAATCAACCTCCGTCACTCTCGTGGAGCACGTCGTTTCGATGCTTCTCGCGTTCCCGCCGTCATTCTCTCGTTCTCGCGCTCACATGCTCGCGTTTCTCTCACCCTTTCGCTCTTTTTTTATCTCTCCCGTTCTTTCTCGTTCGATCCCCTTTCTCCCTTTCATCCCCTTTTCTCTTGTTCACATGCGCGCATACATACACACACGCAAGCACACACTTCCGCGCATGCACACAATCTCTCCTCTCACTTGGACTCACTTCGTGTATCGTTACAGGGTCTATGTTAATATATTAGTTATTATTTTACGGTAATGTCTAAACGAACACATATTATATTTCGATAACGTCGTGTTTATTTATCATCCCGTGCCACGCGTTCTTTATTCCCCCGCCCTCCAGCACTAAGGAAGAATATCACCAAGTATATAATAATTCACCACCCACCCTCCTGCTCGCGTCCGAGACCAGCCTCAGCCGCCCGTTCTCTCTCGGCGAAGAAACTATCTACCTACGTCTCTTTTTTTCCTTAATGTCGCCTCGTTAGAGTTTAATGTCTTATGCTCCTCCGGTGTATATGTGTGTGTGTGTGTATGTGTGCGTGTGTATGTATTTGTATGCAGTACGTGTGCATGTCTCTGTATATCCGCTCCCCGTTCACTGGATGCCGAGTTCTCCGGCTCTTTTCTTACCTCTATTTTTGTCACCTCTTCTCACTCTCTGTCACTCACTCTTCTTCTCTCTCTCTCTTTCTCGCTCTCTTTCTCTCGTTCTCTCTCTCTCTCTCTCTCTCTCTCTCTCTCTCTCTCTCTCTCTGTCTCTCTCTCTCCCGCTTTCTGCGGTGCCGTTTAGCACCGGTGCACAAAGCTGCAACAATACGTCGCTGAATTCTGCCCGCGTGTAAGCCCACCGGAGCCTATCTCGTTTTCCTCTAAGGATCCTGAACCGTGTTGAAGCGTCCGGCCGGCGTTTGTTTGTGCATTTTTCTGCAGCGCCACCGCGCAAAAGTTGACGAGACTTTCAGTGGTCCTCGAGCCAGGGGAATAAGGGGGCGCGTGTACCTTTCGCTTCAATGACATTCTTTGAGATTT